ATGTGCTTACTTATTATTTTTATTAACTAATATTATTATTATTTTTATTGTACTTATTAATATTTTTATTATTTTTATTTTATTTTTTTATTTGTGTTAAATTAATTATATATTTTTTTTAATTGCATTCCAAATATAACTTAATTATTTTTTTATATTAAATTTATTTTTTATTTAACTTTTTATTTTTATTTTATTTTTTTTTTATTTATTAATTTTGTTATTTTTGTATAAATTCTCTTTATTTTTTTAAATTTATATTTAAGTTGTATTCTCAACTGATTTTCAATGTGCGATTTTTTGTTTAACTTACTCTCCACATTATTCCGTATCAATTAGAATAAATTTGTGCTTCTGTTCTCGTATTGGACATAACATTTGCCATGCTGCTATAATATGCTAATCTATAATTAATTAAAATACAACAAGGATGCATAATATTATAACGGAATACATAATGAATGTCACATAGAGACTGCCAGCAGAATTATAATATAATAAATATTCAATAAAGCGTGAGCTGAAGCCAACAAAAGTGACGCTAACTAAAACAACAACAACAACAACAGGACAACAATAGGGCTGTGTGTGTTGTTGTTGTCCCTGTTGCTGTTGTTGTAGCTGTTCACATCATGGGAGAAAGAAATGTGTTTCAATAAATTACATGAGCACGCAGCGCGAAACGCGTTGAAGGCAGCGCGAAGCCGCAGCAGCAGCAGCAGCAGCAGCAGCAGCCAACGAATGTGGCATAATTTGCGGTGTATGTGTATGTGTGTGTGTGTGTGTGTGAGTGCCTTGGGAATGGTAATGGTAAAAACAGCACAGTCAGCAGCAGGAAAAAAAAAAAACAAATGAAACTTGGCGCTCACTCAAATGGCAAAAGCAACAACAACAACAACTAACACTAACAACAACAAGCAACGAGCTACGAGCAACTTGTACACTGAAAACGGCGTCGAACACACACACACACACACTCAAGTTATTTGACTTGATTGCATACTTTTAGGCGGAAAATAACATTTTATTTATATAGTCTGCAGATGTAGGCAGCAGCGGCATGAATCGCTTCACAGCGAACGTGTTGTGTTGTTCTTTCAAATAGTTTTCAAGTCTATTTATTTGTTATGCCTCTCCAGCCACGCCCACCACGCCTACCATTCCAAGCCATGTTGTAAGTTTTCACAGCGCCGGCTGTCGCTTGAGTCTATTTGTGAAAAAGCAAAAGGAAAACCCTGAACTTTTCTTATTTGGCGTAACAAGTTTTCATGCTGTTTATCATAGATGCCTGTCGCCACGTGCAGTAGGCCTCAATTTATTCAAATTAGGATACGTTTTGTCATGGCTACAGAGCAGTCTTATTTCTTTACTTACTTAAAATGTGTTTTGTTAGCCTGATTCATGAGCTGGCCAAAAAAACAATGTGAATGTTTCAATGGACTGTCTGTCGTATTGCCGTTAAACGGACTGCCTAGGACACATTTCATTTACTAAGTGTACAATGGAATTTGCTGTTGATTGATTCGTCTCGTTTCACTTTGTGGGCGATGCTTGTATTGTTCCATTGAATACGTTATGAGCTGAAAGTACCAAAGTTTGGATACAACTAACAGAATGAACAGGGTTAGTTTAGGTTTAACTTTCGAGCAGTAGGGAATTGGAACTGAAAATGGCCAGGGAATTGAAGTTGAGCAGAGTTATATATACATATAGTTAATGCAGATAATATAGACTTGTCTACAGTCTAAATAATAGACAGCCCTAAAAGTATTTGTATAACATAAAATATTTGTATGCTTAGACATTGTATCATGAGATGTTGAAGTTTAGATACATATAAAATATGTAGAACGAGCCATAGTCTATATGATAGAAAGCCTTAAACATAATTCTGTGTATCTGCTTTGGTCTATCATATACATAATCAAATATATCGTTATATATGATTTTAGGATAATAACTCGAAATGTGGATATGGATAGATTGATTATAAACATAAAGTTACGTTGTTGCTTATGTAGCTTATTCATTTAGTATATCAAGCTCGGTTCATTGCAAATTGTTACCAGAAAATTCCAGAAAAACAATAACTCTGTAAATTTTTCTATAGAAACTTCTTAGATCTATCACTGAATATAGTTTTTATAGATTTTTGCCTTTCAAGAAACGTTAGATTTTATGCCACCAGCAGTCGATAAATTCCTCCCTATTTATGCCAAGAAACAAATTACGTTTTAAAGAAATTTCTAGAAAAAAAACCTTTCAAAGGACTAAAACGAATATACCCGCTTGATTGACTGCTTGATTATGTGGAATTGTGTACTTCAAAGCGATTTCCAATCTGGCCATTTGTGTATGCAGCTCAAAGCACTTAAAATATTCACGTTTTAAACTAAGCGGATTACAGCACAAGAGCGCTCGAACTGCAAAATAATTTCAACTAATTGCAAAAAGTTGGCAGTAAAGAGTTAAAAACAAATAGTTTGCGAAGCTGATTTTGATGGAGGCAGAGGGCACTGTGAAAAGTCGAGTAATTAGTGAGCAGAGGTTTGCCAAAAGGGACGAGCAACTATCGTATACAATGCGGTTGCACATGATTTAAAGAGAAAAAAAAAGAGAAAAATAAAAACGAATAAAAACAACGAAACGAGAAACCATCAAATGAAGTCAAGCATTTGAGCAGAACAAAGGCCAAACACAACCGCAGACAGTTCGCCATACAAATTGCAGCAGAGCCACAATAGTGAGTGCGTGCGAGAGAGAGAGAGAGAGTGAGAGAGGGGGGCATAGGCAGGCAAGACAGACAATAAAAGTGTAGTAAGCGAAATGGCCAGCAGGCCATTGCAACGTCTACATTGTTATATGCATTTAAAGGTGAGCCAGAAGTTAAATGCACCTGCCACGGGCGATTTCTGGGGTTTAATGGCACGGCAAAGGAAAGGGACGAACGGATGGACGGTAAGGTACGGTACGGTACGGCATGGTTTGGTGTAGGACAATAAAAGCGAGGCACACAAATGGAATAACAGCCGCAACAAGCATAACAGCAACACATGCGACACAAACTTGCCTCGTGCACCTTGTTGCAGGCGTCAAGAGCCAAACGGGGCAAAAGTTGCTCCTGCTGCTGCGTAAAACTTTGCTGCATACATTTCGACTGCGTTTGCCGGCCAACTGAGGCGATGAATGTGTGCGATGGGTGTATGTGTGTGTGTGTGTGGGAGTGTGTGCATGTGTGTGTGTGTGTGGGAGAGAGCGAGAGAGCAAAAGTGTGTGTGTGCCTTTGTTGCCTTGCAGTGTTGTGCACTCAGCTATACACCCATATTTACTCACTGCAGACACGTCTGAAATAATATACAGTAAGGACTAGCTATGAAGAAAGAATAAAAAATGAGCTAATTATAAATAAAACTGAATATTCGTTAAATAAAAAAGTAAAGAAAACAATGGCAAAAAAAATATAAACAAAATAAGGGTTGCCAGTTTTTAAATATCTTGAAAAAAATTCTGATAGTTCCTGGTTCAATTCTTCAATTCTTATGATGCATTTAGTATAAAACAAAAAATCTGGAAAATTTTGCAAGATATTTCTTCGGTAGATAACCTTCTTAAGATGAAGGTTGGGTCTATAATATGTTATTTGTATATGCATCAGTCATAGCAGTCTGATTCATAGGGTATTTTCATATATTAAACAGCCTTCACATTTCAGCTGATAGACATACATTTTACTACCACATTGTCAACATCTAGTCAGCTCATATTACTCAATACCCATATACTTAAGATGTTTGTATATATTTCTATTCATATGCCATGTCAGTCCTTTATATATGTACATACTATAATTACCGTACAACGAAACGGCTAACAAAGCTTCACATAGCACTTTCATAATCTAGTTGACTCAGCTTATATAACTGAAAATTCCACATACATATATTTCTATTTTAGTTAAGACCAGTTTCTCATATCGAATGCTCACTGTACAGGTTTAAAGACATCCAAGCTAATCAAATGTTGTCACTCAATATTGTAGTCATATAAATATGACTCATATATATCCATTTTCGACTCATCGCAGTCTTTCATAGTCAATAAATACTGCATAGTGAAACAGAGAGTAAATTAAAAAATTCCAATGTCATCAATTAGACAGCTCACATTACTGAATATTATAGACATACAAATTTTTACGTTTTCGCCCAAGACCAGTCTGTCATATCGAATACCTACTGTACATGATTACAGACATCCAAAGGAAACATTCAGTTGTCATCATTTAGTCAACTCTATTCTCTCAATACTATAGTCATATACATTCCTCTTATATTTCCATTCATTCCATTCCATGTTCACCTCATACCAGTCTCTCATATTCAGTAACTACTGTACAGTGAGAGCAAAGCTGAACAGCTCACATTATTCTATATTATAGACTTACAAATTTCGTGCTTCACCTCTTATCAGTCCTTTATCTACTATTACTACTGTACTACGAAGCAGCGAGCAAAGCAAAACAGTTGCAATATTTTCAGAGATTACCAAAAACACAAAAAAGGAGAAGCAAATGCCGCCTCTGCCTCCTGCTCTGCCCCTTCCTCCCCCTCTCCCTCTGCCTGTGCGTTGACAGCCGGCGCAGAGCCAGGCGCAAAGTGTGGTGAAAAAGTGTGTGAAAGAGCAATAACCCACTGTGAGAGCTGCGTGCGTGTGGTGTGTGAGGTGGGTGAAGTGGGTGGGTGGGTTGTGGTTAGTAGTGCCTGGTGGGTTGGCCGTTTGCAAAGAGAACGCTCTCTTGGGTCCACACTCGCACTCTACTAGCATTCTCTTAGTGCGCGCTTACCTGTGTGCTCAGCTTATTTGTGTGTTTGCTTGTGGCCTGTAACTGTGTTGAGTTTCCGGCACGCCGTATAAACAAACCCAGACCCGGACGCAAACTCGCGTGGGGGCCAAATGCCGGCTAACCAGCGAGGGGTTGCTGCTCCCGTTGCTGTTGTTACTGTTGTTGTTATCGGTGCATTTGTTAAGCCTTTATCAATGTCAACAATGCAGACATAATTTTATTTTTGGTTTATCATTATCATTCTTTATTGAATTGACGCCGCGTCAGACAATGCAAAGTATACATATCGAATGCCGCACGTGATGCCGCACAGTGAAGTGAAGTGAAGTGAAGTAAATGCCCATCGGTCCGTTAGCCGTTAGCCAACGTTAGCAGCTGTCGCAGCTACGCACAACAGAACGCCCCCCCCCCAGCGCGCACAACATTGCCACGCACAGGACAATCGAGCACCAGCGATGACTGCCAAGCCGCCGCCGCCGGTGCCGCCAACGGTGCCCGATGAGCAGCTGCCGAAGCTGGCGCCGCAGATACCACGCCTCAACTCCGAGCTGGCCGCCCAGGCAGCGATGCGCGCTCAGCAGCTGCTGCGCAAGCAGAGCTCGCAGGAGCAGACGGCCCCTGGCCAGAAGGCGGTGCCACCACCGCTGCCACCGCAGAGCCGGCCCGTGCCCGCGATTCCGGCACGCGGCGCCAGCGAGCGCTCGGCACCGCCGGAAATTCCACCCAAGCGGCACAGCCTGAAGAGTCTGCCCGATGGCCAGCATGTGGTGGTGCCCGGGCTGCCGCCACCTTTGCGGCAGCCACCGCCGTTGCCCAAGAAGCCCGCCTCCGCGCAGAGCTCGGCGCAGAACAGCGCACAGAACTCGCCGCTGGCGGGGCTCAAGTTCAAGGAGAAGCCGCCGCTGCCGCCGGAGAAACACTCGACGCTGTCCGCCGAGGCGATGGCTGCGCGCCGCTGCTCCAATCCCTTCGAGATGCCGCCACCGCCGCCGCCGCTCGTGCTGCAGTCGGCAGTGGCAGCGCTGAGCGAGCAGAGCTCCAAGAATGTGAACACGCTGGCGAATTGTATTCCGGTGCCGTCGCCGGCGCCAACGAGAGCCAGCGAGACCAAGAAGCTAAACCAACGACCAGCTCCGGCGGCCGTCTCGCCCACGGATGAGTTCGGCTCGGAGGATGCGCTGCGCGGCATTGAGAGCGGCCTGCGTAACATGGAGCGCGCCATGCAGGAGCAGATGAACCTGCGCAGCCTGGAGGCCGCCGTCCAGAACAACTTCGATCTGAGCTTCAAGGCCAGCCTGGCCGCAGGAGGTGGCCGCCACCTGGGCAGCTCAGCCAATCTGCGCACCAGCAACTACGAGCGCAATCTGTCGCTCGACGAGAGTCGTGCAGGAGACTCGCGCCAATCGCTGGAGGAACTGAAGCAACTGCGTGCCCAGGCACAGCAGCAATCCCTACACAACTCATCCTCCTCCTCTGTGTCGTCCGCGTCGGCCTCGCAGGTGGAGCAATCAATGCGCTCCACCATCGAGCACCACATGCGCTCCCTCGACCGCAATCTGCCGCTGGAGCTGCAGTACAGTCGCCATCGCATGCAGAACAACCTGTCCGGCGGCGGTGCTCCGCCAGCGGCGCAGTCCACCCAACAGCAGCAGCAGCAGCAGCAGCAGCAGTCGCCACAGCCACCCATGCCGCTGAGCAGCGAGTTCCGTGAACAGATCCGCCAGCAGCTGCTGGGCAACATTCCGCCCCAGGTGGTGCACAACATGGGCCAGTTGCCCGGCTCGGCAGCAGCCGCTGCCCTGCTGCAGCATCAGGCTCAGTCGCGGGCAGCTGCGGCCGCCGCTGCTGCTGCCGCCCAGATCGTCGCCGGCAATGGCGTCGTGCCCGTCGGACTCTCCCGAGAGGAGCTGCGCATGCGTCGACGCTCCTCCCACGACGAGACGCAAATATCGCAGAACGCAGCTGGAGGCATTCAGGGTAAGCTGGAATCGGATTGACTGATTGATTGATGAACTGATCAGCGCCTAGTGCTTGAGTTTAGATAGGCAGCCGATATATAGGATGATATATATGACGATATGATGATATACATTTAAAAAAAAAACTTGATCCTAAGTTGAAAAATCTAATTTGAATTTTATTTATTTATTTATTTATTTTCTTTAAATATTATTATTATTTTTTTTAAGCTAAGATAGTTAGGCATAATTATATTATTGATATAATGTAAATTATAAAATATATATGGTATTTACCAACACTTTTTTATTTAATTATTATTATTATTTTTTTAATTACTTATTTATTTTTTTAAATTTTTTTTTATATACTTTTTTTCAAATAAAAAAATAATGCTTTACTCAAGAAATCAAAAATATTTCCGTAAAGGCAAAATAAATTTTATTTGCTTAGTTTAATATAAATTAAGCTGTAGTTTATTCCTCTATTTTATTTTTCTTTTTATAATTAATTATTTATATATTTATTTAATTGCAAACATTATGAATTCTCTTCTATTCTATCTTACTTCTATACCTCTCTGTTAGAATTGAAACAGTTTTCCATAGCACCGCATTGTGCAGCTGACTTAGACTATTTACGTTGCTTTCTGAAAGGTAACGAATACAATTTGTGTTTATGCTAACCCAGCTGTGTGAGAGCTAACAACGGCTAGTGCCGATAGATACCAGAGTGGACTCCAACTAATCTGATAATAATTGAGACCATCTCACACACAAAGACCTGCCGAACAAGTGGAGCAGAGCAGCAGCACACCTCTCTCTGTCTCTCTCTCTCTCTAGTTTCCTCCCTTGTTTACTAATGATGTTGCATGGCGTTTCACACACAACACACACACACACTTACAACTGATCAATAAATGTTGAATGGGGCTCCAAGGGTTCCCCCGTTTACCGTTTACCGTTTACCGTTTACTAGAAACTACACCGCAGCTAACTTTTGTCACTCGATTAAAATGTTTTATTGTTGTTGTTCTTAGTTAATAATGTTTAACAGTAACCAAAATGCTAGGCTCTCTGGTGAACCATTAATTAAACTGTTCTCTATTGCGGCATTCACAGTTACCCGCCTGAGGGAGCATTGGGATGAGACGTCGCAGTGCGTGCTGCAGCGAGCGGCGCAGCTGAAGAGCATGCTGAGCGATTCGCAGCGGTAGGTTATCCTTTAGCCCACTTTGGGGTCAATCCAATTAATTGCTTCAATCCGATTGGCAGGTTCGAGGCCAAGCGCGTCGAGCTGGAAATGTGGCTGGCGCGCATGGAGCAGCGAGCGGAGCGAATGGGCACCGTGGCCACCACAGCAGACATACTGGAGGCCCAGCAGAAGGAGCAGAAGGTGACTTGTGCTGGCATCGCTCACATGGCTTGCATAAATTAATCTATTCCCTTTATATATCCGCAGTCCTTCCACGCCGAGCTGCATCAGAATAAGCAGCACTTCGACCTCTTCAGCGAGCTGACGCAGAAACTAATTGCAGTCTATCCCAACGATGATACTTCCAGAGTTAAGAAGATGACTGAGTCCATTAATCAACGGTGAGTGTCGTCTATTGAAATCATCGTGCAGCGACTCTGTCGAGCCAAATGAAGTGCGAAAATGCAAATAGTTACGCGTTTTCAATTCCGAGCACTTGTGCGCTTTGCGTGTAATGCGAATTAATGACTTGCACTTGCCAAGCCTCAGCATTATAAACACAAATCAAATAAATCACAGCAGGTGCAAACGAAACCTGAAGAAAATCCTTAAATTCTTGGAGAATACTCAATCAATAAACCTCTTAGCTGTTGGAAGTGCTTTAATATGCATAGAAGAAGTAAGAGTGTAGAATGTTTGTGACTTTTTCAAGAACTTTTTTTTCATTCTGTTTAAGAAAACTTATTGAATCCTAAAATATAGATAATCTTTTGAAGTCTTAAAAAAGTATATGAATATATATGTATATATATTGCTAAATGTGAACGGTTAAATGATTTAAATCTATATAAAACTTGATTAGATAAGTTTTATATAGATTTAAATCATTTAACCTGTCCAAAGGAAAGGGAAGATTTCGTTTCTGATTCCAACTATAGTAAACATTTTAATATCAGCAAATTCTTAAAGCTTCCACAACCACCGATATATAATATTTGTCTGCTATATCGCATGTATCACCTATGAATATATTATATTGATTTATATATATATTACATTTAATATATTTTCTTTTGATTCTCCTTGCAGCTATACCAACTTGAATAACGGTGTTATCAACCGAGGCAAACTGCTGCACGCCGCTGTGCAAGATCTGCAATCGTTCGATCGCAAAATGGATCAGGTTAGCAATCATCTCGATTCATATGATATCACATTTCTCTAATCGTTTCTCTGTTCTCTGGCAGTTTCTCGCCTTTCTCTCGGAAACGGAAACCCTTTGTGAAAATGCTGAATCGGACATTGATCGCAATCCGATGATGTTTAAGGTAAGTGCTTCATAGAATTTACCCTATTCGAGCGCTACCCCCCATATGAATACACCGCTGTCTTTGTATCGCATTTAACCTGACCTCAAGTGAAAGATTTATGCATAGCAAGAGTGCTTTACTTCAGTCTCTGGTGCATTGACCGATCCCACCAGAGAATGATTGTAAGTGCATTGAGTTTGTATAGTATATAAAAATTTAAGCAATCTATTGAAAATTGGATTTTAAGTGAGAAATGTGCTACGTAAAAATAATATATGTACATATGTATATTTAATTGTTAAAGAGATATTTAACTGTACAGAGGATTCTTAAATTTTTCATTGATATATATTTAAAATATATATATATATATATATATATGTATATATTTCTTTCTTACCCATTTCTATATACCAATACTTATATTGATTTATTGAAGCTATCAGCTATATATATCTCTATATACGATAACGGTATATCTGATCTATCTGCTCTTCCGACTTCGCAAATTCTGCGTGTGTTTATTTACGTTTCAGTTTATTTAGCATGTTGTGATCTATGAGCACGATCTTTGTTTTGGGCTATACGCAGAGAACTAATTGCAATTTTCCTAAAAGAGTTTCCCCTCTCTGTTGTATCAGATCTAATTGACCCGCATTTAAGGCGCTCTCTCTCTCTCTCTCTCTTTGGCTTTATCAGCTAATTTTCTTTAAGTATTTCCAATTTTCATTTGCCGCATGACCATGAAACATGCAATCAATTTGTGATATCTGATCGAAGCTCAAGTGCTCAGCCCCATCAGCCGATGATGCGGATCCACTCGAATTCGCTTACTTTGTGGACTTGCTTTGATGACCGGCACGGATTGGAATGAATCGAGTTGTGTGCTCGGCCACTTAATGTCTCAATGGCATTTGCAACCCGGATTGCCATTGCAGCCTCAAATCGGGTGCATGCCACAAACACACACACACACGCACACAGTCAGTCAGTCAACATAGGCTGCCCTCTTCAAACCTATTTGCCTGTGTGGCTCGACACTTCTCAACAACACCAGAGCACCGCCTCAGCCTCAGCCTCTGCCTCTGCCTCCACCCACGCAGCATTCGAGAGTGCGGCGTGTTCTTCAAGTGCTGCGTGGCGTCTGTCTGTTTGAATGTTTGTGTTTCTTGCCTGGGTTACTGGCCGCCGTGCAGCAGCATCATCATCCCCAACTTAATGATCATCATGTGCTGCATGCGGCCGCCCACTCCACTCCACTTTCCTATTATAATCATGCACTCACCCATTTGAGCCAATTACTGTAAATGCGTTTTCTTTTCACTTTTCACTTTTCTTTTCTTTCAACTTCTTGATCAAATTTGTTGGGCATAGAACTTAAATGAGTTCTTTATGTTTTTTTTATACCACATACATTTATAAAGTTTCCCTTTTAATGTGTTTATATTTAAAACTGTTGCTGTCCCATATATTTAACTGAAGAACTTGAACCAGTATTTGTATATACATATGTATATGTATTTGAGTGGACTTTATTAACGTGTAATGTGCTTTTATTCATTTCATCAAACCCGCAAAAGCTTTTGCCTTGCAGCTTAAAACACATTTATCCTTGTACAAAATCCAATGGCAAAAGCTTTTAATAGAGCTTCAGCCTAGTTGGAGCTTGAGCTTTATTTTCCCAAAAGCGTTTTACATTTTTAGCTTTTGTGCTGGCAACGCTGAAACGGACTAAGGCAATTTGTTGTCAAATCTACACTGTTCAATATCTGCCTAAAAGTGGTATATAGGCTGGCTTGCAAAATTATTTAATATTAAAAAATATTATTTTCATTTATTAAAAGTACATAAATTATATTTTAGCTTTTCACTTAGAATAATATAAAAGTCGTTGCTAGATATTAAAATTAATAATAAATTCCAATATTCTATACCTTCGGCTGTTGCAGGGCATCTTTTAGTTTGTCATGCAAATCAGTTTCGCTCATTTTGTATTTTGCCGGCAAATACCGTTATATTTACCGGCTGCTTGCCGTGTAGACTGTGAGAGAGCGCGCGCCCGAAAAGTCTCCACTCCACAGAGCAGACTCTCGGCCTCTGTTTTCGTTTTCGTTTTCGTTCTCTGTTTTTGTTATCTCGGCACATGCCGACAACGACGGCAGCCGAGTGGCGCTATTTTGGATGGCTTGCCAGCTGCTGTCGCTGTCGCTGCCGCTGCGACTGCGGCTGCTGTTGGATGCTGTGACTGTTGGCGTCGACAGCGCTGCTGCGAGCGTTGGCTCGCACTTGCCGTTGCTCTTCGTCAGTTCAGTTCGTGTTCTGAGATGCGTCCGTACGCGCGTTGATAACGGTCGCAAGGCGCTGATTTGTTTAGCCCGGCTTGTAAACAATTCCAAAATTCATTCAAAAACCCTGAACAGAATTTCCGAATCGAGTGATATATTGAATTACTTAATTATATATATGTACATGTATATATATGTAAATGATAAAGAGAAACAGTTGTAAATTAAGGGATAAAGTAAATCAGTTTACCATATAATTTGTCTTTGCATACCTATAGGCGTGCACTCACACACACACACACACACACACGCGTACGCACACTCGCATGCATTGTGGAACACCCGCAGATGCATGCGCCCGCAGACATGCAAGCGCACATTTATGTGCTGCATGTGCACACATGCAAATTGAATCCCACCATGCAACAATTAATCGCAAATCTTTGCTTAAAGCAACGCACGGAAAAGGCGGCACAGCCGTTGCCATTATGCGCCTATGTGTGTGTGTGTGTGTGTGTGCATTTTAAAGTGAAATGTGCATTAATTATGCACACATATTCCAGGCCTGCTTCCGCTGGCCAAGCGAACTAAGTGAGATTGAAATTGAAATTTGTGCAACATAAAAAGTTTTGTTGAGTGCCAAAGAAACTGCAAAATGTTTCCAATACGAATTAAAACAATAGTTTTAATTGTAATACAAACGTGTTTAAACATGTTTCAGTTGTGCTGCAAAAAAACATTCCACATTAAAATGCCAAAATCGATCAAAGCTGTGCGATTTATAAATTTACGCAAATTAAATAATTCATTAATTCATTGAAGTGAATAAAAGTTTTTGCTTGTATGAGCTCATGTGAAATGTGTATAAAAAGTATTTATGTTAATAATATTTCACTTTTATTGTGTTTTTAGTGCTCATACATTGTCAGCAGGCTGAGTTTGTCTACAAGATTCTTATCATATGCATATATAGGCGTAATTTGCGCAATTTTTAAGATATGGAATTTCGTTTTTAGATAACTGAATTGTTGTCAACTCAGCATCATATTATCTTTTATTATTACTATTACAATTATTATCAGTCTCAGAGCGTGGACCATAAGATATTTCAGTCTAGATTTGAATTGCTTGTAGTTAGGGTCGTAAAGCCAAAGTTGAATGCACTTTGTCTGGAATTTCAAATGAATAAATACCATATGTAATACTATATATTATATTTTTCGCTTTAATAGTTTATTTATGCGCACAAGCACTCCATGTCCCCCTCGAACACGAAACAACAACTTCAACATCATTAAACACTCCACACAAATATGTAAAGCCATTAATAACCGGTAGCAAGCACTTGAACTGAACCACAATAGAAACAGATTCGATCCCGCGGATGATGAGAGACTTTCAACTTCAACTTCGACTTCAACTTTGAAACCAAGGCCCAGCCCATGTTAGGCTATCGAATGCGATTATTAATCAAATGACAACACAATCGACACAGTCTCGTGTCGTCGAGACCCGATTTCATTCATAAAAAGATTTCCGCACTTTCCAAAAAGTTTTCGTTTACACGATTTTCCCGTCAGCGCGCGCATTAAGTCTAGAAAATATGCAAGCCCTCTGAGAGCTCGGCCGAGACGCGGCTTGGTCAATAACAAATGTCAAACATGCGTTTGCTTGAGCTCTCCGCGTGGAGTTGTCTCCGGCCACTGGCCGCGTGTGTGGGGCATGTTTACGTTTACCTGTTGACGCTTGTGGCGTCGCAACGCGTCGGCGGCAGCGGTGGCGGCGGTGGCAGCGGTGGCGGCGGTGTCGACGAAAGACACAAAAAGCAACAAGTAACCAAAACAAGTTCACAAACAAACCAAGTCAAAAGATTTAACAACAAGCGGCGACAAATTTCTATTACAAGACGAAGCATAAATACGCTGAAATCTCAAAGAAAGACAGTTAAATATATAAATGTTGACAAGAAATATGCTCTCATATATGATATATTATCATATATGATCAAATTTCTAGGCAAATATATTTAAATATAATATTTTCTGTCTTAAAAGATTCTTAATTTTCTCTCTATATATGAAAATGGTTTACATTGTAGACAGAAGAAAGCTGTTGTAGGCATTTGTGTATCGTTTTTCCATCTCTGGCCAGGGAAATGTTCCGTTGCCTGTTCAAAGAGCAAAGATTCATATATAGATTATAGAATAAAATAGAAGAGCAACAATATTGATAATACTAGAGTAATGCTTGCACTTCCCTTAATTTTGTTATCTCCAGCATGTTCGCTATAGTAATACTTACATATCGATATACGTTTTCATACCGATATCTGAAATTACTTTTGCCGTTACAGCATTTGCCTTTTAAATCTCTTAGAAATAAATATTCTTTATACGTTTTTTGCTGCCTGTCTCTCTTTCTCGCACTATCTCTCTCTCTCTCTCTCTCTCTCTCTCTCTCTCTCTCTCCCTCTCTGTCTCGTTTTTGTCAACAGGAAGAATTTTAAAAGATTTTCAGATTCCCATTTAGCGCTTTACAAATCCGATTCCTGTTGATCTATTTTATTTGAAATGATAAATTTTAAATATAACAAATATATATATATATATATATATATATATATA